TACCAAACCATTTCTAGAGCGACTCAAGCGGGCAATTATCTTATTTATACTAGAGTAAGATACTAGCGGGCAATCAACTTTCTCGAGTCTTGGTCAATGACTTTTGCTGTAACCAACTAGCCATGCAGCAGCTATCCCTTGCTAGTGGGCTATAAAGATGCCAAAAGAAAATTATCAGAGAGAGATGGTTAGGCATTGTACATTTCCAATCATCTTAAATTCATTTGATTCGCATCAATCTAAGCTATAAATACCTTGGGAGTACAACAAAAATGTTTAACAACTTGGCTTGGCACTTACATTTCACTAGAATTTTTATAGTCTCCATGTCTTACACTATGCCTTCATCTTTCCAACTTCCACATCATTCTAGCAAAATTACCCTTTGGCCTTCGCCGAATCTCAAACATGGGAAGCCTATTTTCTGTTCAATCAACAAAACTTCATTCCCAACGAAAACCTCAAAGGAGAAAGCATTTGAAGAAACACGTAACAAAACCAAGACACTGAGTCTACCTTTGTTACCACAATCAATATTCTCCCATCTCTCAACCATGTCCAAAAACCTCTTCCTTAACACCTTAAACATCATTGATCCACCCCTTCACCCTTCAATTGATCCAAATCTTGTCTTTGCTGGAAACTTTGCTCCAGTAAACGAGCTTGATCCCACGGATTGTCAAGTTATCGAAGGCGAGCTTCCACTCACTCTAAACGGTGTTTACATCCGAAATGGCCCAAATCCACAGCTTCAACCTCGTCGTGCTCTTCATTTATTTGATGGGGATGGCATGCTTCACTCTTTACGATTGTCCAATGGCAATGCAACTTACTGTAGCCGCTATGTCAAGACTTACAAATATATGCTGGAGCAAGATGCTGGCTTCCCAATTATTCCTAATTTTTTCTCTGGTTTCTATGGTCTCGTGGATGTTATCCGATTCCTTATGGATATAGGAAAGGTCCTCACAGGGCATATAGATCTCATGAAAGGGTTTGGAGTCGCCAATACTAGTATTGCCTTTATTTCAAATAAACTCCTTGCTTTGACTGATTCTGATTTACCTTACCTTATTAATGTCACTCAAACGGGTGATATTGAGACCTTAGGGCGTTGGGAACTCACCAAAAAGCTGCTCGCAAACATGAGTGCACATCCCAAAGTTGACATAGAAACCAAGGAAACATTTGCTTTTACAACAAGCCTTACTTTCCCTCACCTTTCCTTCTTTCGTTTTGATTCCAATGGTGTAAAACAAAAAGAAGTACCCGTTTCTTCTGTGTGTACACCAACTTTCCTTCATGACCTTGCCATAACCAAGACGTTTGCAATTTTTTGTGAGACGCAATTAGAACTTGCACCAGCAAAAGTTGTAATGGGAAGGGGAGCTCTAGTAGATTATAAACAGGACAAACTTACAAGAATTGGGATTATTCCAAGGTATTCAACGGATGACTCAGACATGGAATGGTTTCAAGTCCCAAACTTCAATGCAATCCATATCTTTAACGCATGGGAGAGTGGAGAAGACGAAATAGTTCTCGTAGCATCCAACGTTATATCTATAGAAAACATCTATGATAGAACTTGCGTCATCAAATTGGAGAAAGTGAAAATCAACATGAGAACCGGCCAAGTCTCACGAAATATTCTTTCCCCAAGGAATTTAGAATTTGGATCCATAAATCCTTCTTATGTAGGAAAGAAGAGCCGATTTGCTTATGTGGGAGTCTTCGAAGAAATCCCGAAAATGTTAGGTGTGGTGAAAATTGACTTGGAAACCGGGTGTGAAGTAGGCAAAAGATTTTATGGGCATGGTTGCTTTGGAGGGGAGCCATTATTTGTGACGAAAGATACAGAAAATAATGTTGACTCTGAAGATGAAGAAGATGAAGGATATGTAATGAGTTATGTGCACAATGAGGAGACTGGCGAGTCAAAGTTCTTGGTAATGGACGCCAAATCACAAGAACTCAACATTGTCGCAGCGGTTAGGCTCCCTAGGCGAGTGCCGTATGGGTTTCATGGTCTGTTTTTGAGCAGGCAGGACCTCTTGCATCTTTAGCTTAGGAATTAGGATAAATAGATGACCCGTGCAATGCATGGGTTACTGTTATCAATTTCAATATGTTTACACATATAACTTAGCACTTTTATGTAATTATATATGAGTCTTCAAAATTTATGATATAAATGAAGGGTTTCAAGCATTGTAAATTACCAAACGTCACGTTAAAGCGAAGTAGCGATGAGTATTGGACAGAGGAAGGGGAGGAAGAAACCAGAGAAAGTGAAAAACGTTGCTATCCCATTTTCCTAAAATTATAAAATGCCTAAAATACCCTTTAAATTTTGATGTAATTTCAAAGGACATTTGGCATGTATACTAGCCTCTATATTAAAATCATTATAGTTTAGATACCTTGTACATTGATACAGAAACTTTACAAGCAAATTGGTGTAATGTGTATGTGTACATTTAAATATCGCAATTTATTAAATTCTCTTAATTATACAATAAATATATGATAATTTTATAATTTCTTAAAAACTTTTGGGGATAAGATCACTTTTCATATTATGTAAAAATAAAAGTAGCACCATGTTGGATAGAACGAGCTGATTTCTTTTTATGAACGTTATACCATAACAGGCTTAACACAAATGAAATTAGGAGAAAGAAACATTTGGTGGGAGATGGAAATTGTAAGAGATGTTTACAAGCAAATGAAACAGCAATTCATCTGACAAATCCATAACAGGCTGTGGAGATGAGTGGGGTTTGACCAAATAGAATTTTATAGCTTGAATTTACAAGAATGGTTGTAGACTGTCTCGTTTTAATAGAGGACTGGTAGGTGATGGAAATTCGACATATTTTTAGAGAAGGTAATAGATGTGTTAATTTATTTTAGCAAATTTGGTGCAAAATTGCTCTTGGGAATGACTCATCTGACAAATCCTCTGAAATAATTATGTTTGTGTCTTATAAAAGATTTGTCAGGCATACCTCGCTTGAGATTTTAAAATAAATCATATATTATATACATATATTTAATTTATGCATAAGCATAACTATAACTTAAAACAGACTTTATTTATATAATTACGCTTAATAACTTTATTAGTTATCACATTAGATTTTATAACATATTATTTACAATTAGTTATTATTTATACAAACTTTGATATAAAATATTTTAATATATAATTTATATCATTAATTATATACTTAATAAAGTAATATATTATATATACATATATTTAATTTATATATTAGTATTACTATAACTTATAATAAACTTTATTTATATGATTCTAGTTAATAAGTTTATTAGCTATCACTTTAGATTTTATAACATATTGTTTATAGAGGAAATTGTAAGGAATAACCTTTCTTGATGAGAGCATTTCACAAATAACATCAAAATAAATTTAACTGTTTTTAGCCATATTTAACCATAACTTGACGAAAATACCTTTGAAACTATTTTAAATAAATTAAATCATTCATCACAATTTTTTCTCATTTGTGCTTCCGATTTCTCTCTCTCAACATCCCACTCTCTCTAATTTAACGATTTCTCTCTTCTGCATTCGTTTTCTATGCTATCAATTTCTCTTTCTCATGCTTTCAAATTTTTCTTTCCAGCACTTTGAAGACACCAAACGATGGTTTTGATGCGCTTGAGTAGATGACTATTTGAAGAATTTGATTTTTAAGTATTTCGTATAAAACTAAACAATAGAATTCACGATCTAGATACTAATAAACTCAAAAATTTATAATTTATAAATCTAGGTTTTCAATGAAATTTTTTTTTCGATTTTTACTCAAAATAGGTGTTTTAGATAAGGAAATTTGTGTTTTGATTTATAAAAATATGTTAGAAATACTTTAATAGGTGTCAAATTATCAAAAAAATAAAAAACAAAAAAAAAAGAGTTGAGAAGATTTGAAGTTTTGGTTTGTAAGTAACTATAACAATTTAGGCAGTAAAGTGTAACAAAATGTTTTTGAATATGACGTGTAATAATAATATTTTTTCAACATGACGTGTAATAACAATATTTTTTTTTAACATAACGTGTAACAACTTTTTTTTAACCATGGCGTGTAACATGTTTTTGTACATGACGTGCAACAACAGTATTTTTCTTAACATGACGTGTAACATATTTGTACATAGCATGTCACACGTTTTTGTAGATGGCGTGTAACAATCTAACCATGGTATGTAACATATTTTTGTATACAGTGTGTAACATGTTTCTGTATACGATGTATAACATCATGACGTGAAATTTTATTAAAGGTAATTTTATCCAATTTGGTTAAAAATAATTAAAATTATAAAAGAAGTTATTTTTAAAAATATCTTATTTTTAATAGTTATTTTTTAAAATACTTCATATTTATAATTAATTATTATTTATATAAATTTTAATATATAAATTATATCATTAATTTCATATACATATAATTATGAATAAAGTTTATGAATTTTAATATTATAATTTTTTAAAAATAATAATAAAATTTTAATCTATTAATCCATAACTAGATCAACTAAATTAATTCTATATTTCATGGATTTAATCCTATTTTATACTTGAACGATTTTAATTAAATTTTTAAAAATAGTTAACCTATTTGATCTTTAAACCAAATCACTCAGATATTCATTTGCCCACCCTTAATTAATCTGGTTGGGTTCCCAACTTTTTATAAAGCCAACAAGCCGACTAGGCATCCATGTTATTTCATCGAAGCATAGCATATTCGACTCTTCTTTGGCCCTTGAATTTCCAAATTCGCGTTTGGTGGGCGACCACTTGTCTCTCTTTGAAATAAAGCTACAAAATCCAGAATAAGGGAAACCTTCCCCATTAACTTTTCTTTGAGTTTTTACCCAATTCTTTAGATTCTTATACTTGTTTGTAATTCAATTTATAAATTTGATCTGAGGAAGTTTTGTTAAAAATAAAATTGACCAGAATGTTCAACGGAATGATGGATCCTGAGTTGTTTAGAATCGCTCAGGAACAGATGAGTCGTATGTCACCCGCTGAGTTAGCCAAGATCCAGCAACAGGTTCAGTTTTCTATTTTTCTTTTTTTATAGCATTTTTTTATTTTGTTTTGATCAGAATTGTTAAACCCATGTAGGATTTGGTAAATTTGATATATATTTCAATCTGGGTATTTTAGTTTTTTTTTGGAATTTATGTTGGATTTCAATATTGATTTTATTTCTATTCGCATAAAAGTTCTTAGTGGGATTGCTTTCTTATTGAGTGTCTGTAGTTGAATTGAAGAAGAAAACCTGTGTAAATTACGTTTTTAATGCTTTTTTATAAATAATCTCTGATTTTCAATTTAGCAGTTTTATATGATATTTTGTTTTCGAGCACAAATTTTAAGTTAGTTACCCTTTTTTCAGGGAATTGAATTTCTTATTTTTGCAAAATTAATTAGTCTGCTGATATATCTTTATTGCTTGAATTTCTTCAAGAATTGAGATTTTGGAATAAAATTAATTTAGCCCACATTTTGTTAGGTTTAGTAATGAGTTGTGGGTTTCAGCTGAACTTGGTTATGAAGTAAACATAAACCAGTTCCACCTATAGACCTGAATATTTCACACATGGAAAGAACTGAAATCGAAGAAGTAATCAGTTCGTACTTGAGTATGTGCATTTCTTTTTCTGGAATTAACATTAATGCTTGCTTTTATCGTGGTTTGAATGGAATTGCAGATGATGTCTAATCCCGATTTGATGAGAATGGCCTCAGAAAGCATGAAGAACATGAGGCCGGAAGACTTGAGACATGCTGCAGAACAGTTAAAGCATACACGTCCTGAGGAGATGGCAGAGATTGGTGAGAAAATGGCTAATGCATCACCTGAAGAGATAGCTGCCATACGTGCCCGTGCTGATGCTCAGATCACTTATGAATTAAGTGCAGCTCAGATGTTGAAGAATCAGGTGCATTATTGCCATCCAAAATCACATCATTGCTGTTGATATTTTTCAATCTCTCGTATAGATGAAAATATATGCCCAACTGGATAGAAGACTTGTTACTCCATAATCTTAAAGAAAGGGAACACCATAGGAACCCTGAAGCTAATAAAAAAGCTGCAGTGCTCTTTCTTTTAAAAGTTGTAAAGAACTAAACACGTTGTAAAAGCTGTGATGAGATACTATCATTTTATTGGGTTGTCTTAAATCATTAAGCTGCAGAACTTAAAACATATTAGTCAAAAACATGAGTTGTAAGTAAAAAATACCAGAGATCAGTTGTGTGTGACAACATACACTATGACTCATTTGTAGAGGCAATTCCTTGCTAGTGATGCATCATGTGCATGTTGTTGTGGAATACAATAAGACTACCTCTATTCTATTTAAGTGCATGACTTTTTTTTTTTGTATGTATCTAAATAAGTGTCTGTTAATCAGTTTCCAAAAACTAAGGTACAATCATTGTTAATTTTACACATTGAATCTCCAGAAGGCCTTTTTGATAAGGAATTCATTTTCAAAGGAGAGGGTAAGAACATAAATCAATGTCTTATATGTATATTCTTTAACTTTAACTTTAATTACGGTCTGCCCTGTTACTGTTTTTTGTTTTCCTTGTTATTCCTTATTAACTGGCATCTGACATGGATATATATATATATATATATATGTATATATAAATTTGCCAGGGGAATGAGCTTCATAAGCAGGGGAAGTTCAATGATGCCTCTGAGAAATATTTGCTTGTAAGCCAGCAATTTTATCTTTGGTCTTTTTTCCTATATGAGATAAATTCTTGCAGTTTATTTTTATTTTTTATTTTTTTTCAAAATTATTGCAGTTTGTATTTATTTTCTTTTCATTTTAATTAGAATCCTCATTGTCTCTTTGACAATCTTAGGCAAAGAAAAACCTGAAAGGAATTCCATCCTCCAAAGGAAGAACAGTTTTACTAGCATGCTCTCTTAATCTGATGTCCTGTTACTTGAAAACAAGGCAATATGATGAGTGTATAAAAGAAGGCTCTGAGGTATGAAGATGCCATTTTCTCCTTTATTGTCATGGTAGTATGATAGATTTTTTCATAAGTTATATCCTAAAGTTATCCCCATTCCGAAGATATGACATGAAACTATTTGTTATCAGTAGACTAGACTACTAATTCAATAAACAGATAGATTGATAGTCCTCTGTACAGTTTCCTACCTTGTGACCTTCTATCTTCTTTCTAGCTAAAATTATGTATTTCTACTTTCAGGTTTTGTCATATGATGCAAAGAATGTGAAAGCTCTTTACCGAAGAGGTCAAGCTTATAAAGAACTTGGCCAATTAGAAGTAAGTGTTATATGCATATGGGTTTTTATCAACAGTTGCTGAATTGCATTTTTATACTTTTCAACTTTTGGAATAACTTGCTCATTAGGTTGCTTTTGGTAACAACCTTTTTCAAATTTATTAGGATGCTGTCTCGGACTTGAGCAAGGCACATGAAGTTTCCCCTGATGATGAAACAATTGCAGATGTCTTGAGGTATGAATTTATTTGACTCAGATTGCGGAATTACGGGATAAGTTGTAGTCAGCACTGCATTCACTTCTAAAGTTAATTTATGCACCAACATCAGCCCATTTGACTATTATTGGGTGGGATAAAAGTGCATTTTTTCTAATTGTTTTTCTTTAAAGAAATGCAGTTGCTATTTAGACTCATGAGATGTGGTCTAGTTATTAAACAACTAGTTATTAAATAATATTCATAAAATTGATGAAAAGGTGTTTTTTGTTCAATGTTCCATGGTGGTTATTGATGTCAAATATTTATGTAGGGATGCTGAGGAAAGATTGGCTAGAGAAGGCAGTTCTCAGGCACCTCGAGGTAAGTTATTATCGCTTGTTTTGCATTTTCTTAGAGCTACTCTCTGTCTCTCTCATATATGTTTTTCCATGTTCAGATGTTTACACTTCTATTTGCTCCTTATTTTACAGGAGTAGTAATTGAAGAAATAACTGAAGAAGCTGCAAGCACCTCTTCTGAATGTTCATTGAAACAACCTCGAGAAAGTACTGGATTCTCTAAGAGTGAGATCGGGAAAAAGGTCTCTGACTTGACAACCAATTCTGAGTGTCTGCAGGCTCTAAAGGATGATCCAGAAGCACTTAGGTTTGTTTTCATGATCACGAAACTGTCTGTTAGGCTATCTTCAGTAGCCTAGTCTGGTAATACCAAATTCTGTCATTTCCGATTGGATTATGTCAATATAAAAATTGACTTCTAAAATCTATTAATGATCTGAACATATGAAACTTGAGGATAATATCAGTGGGGTTTCCGATCTCTTAATTTCTCCTTGTTTTAGCTCTGAAATCTTTGCAGTAACTAGTCACATGATATTATGCACATAAATACAATCCACTTTGGTGTATGTACATGGATGGATAAAGGAAATTATGACCTTAAAAGGTTACTGCTGATTGAAGGAAAAGTTGGAGGATTTAAATGAAACAATAGGGCACAAATTGTGGCAAGTCCTTCCACAGAACCAAACTCACTTATTCAGTATTTTTATTGTTTTCCAATTCTTTTCCAACCTTTTTAGCCCATTAATGCTGATAGTTCATGTCCTGTGCTATTGCTATTTTTTGTGCTCTATTATTATTTATTTTCTCATTTCCCCTTGCAATTTGCAGATCATTTCAGAATTTCATTTCTAATGCTGATCCTGACACCCTTGCTGCTATGAGTGGCGGTAAAGTTGGAGAGGTGTCACCAGACATGTTTAAGACTGCTTCAAATATGATCAGCAAGATGTCACTTGAAGAGCTACAAAAAATGGCTCAATTGGCTTCTTCATTTCAGGGAGAAAACCCATATACAGGTCCTTTGAAAAATGGATTTGGACCTGGATCAGTTCCTCCAAATGTGACACCTGAGACGCTTAAAACTGCAACTGATATGATGACCAAGATGCCCCCAGAAGAGCTTCAAAAAATGTTTGAAATGGCAGCTTCTTTGAAAGGGACAGACTCTATTCCCGCATCAACAGATGTAAACAGTAACAGACTAGGTTCAGATGCCCAGGTAAAATATCCAGAATCTCAGACAGCATCTCTCACCAATGAGAACATTGGTTTTGGTGAAACCAGTTCTTCAAGTCATTTTCCAAACTCAATGAACGCCCAGTCAAGTTTTCCAGCATCAACTGCTGATTTACAAGAACAGATGAGAAACCAAATGAAAGACCCAGCTATGCGGCAGGTGTGAGGATATATTTTTTACATTATTGGATCTTTGGTGCTGTTGTTATTATTTTTCTTAGCAGCATGTTAAATTAGTCTTTCTAACTTCCTGGCTTTTGAAATTGCTCAGATTATTGCAAATGTGCAGGCTTTAAAAAAAAAATGAAACAGAAAAAGAAAGAAAGACCATAAATGCAGAAAATAAGTTTCTGATGCAAGGGACAAGAGTGTTGAATCAGTTTTTACATTTTAATGCTGATATATGCAATTGCTGATAGAATGTTGTCCTTCTCAACTGCCTCAGTATCTTCATGATATTAAGCGTGCATTACCCCAAGTTCTTGTTGATTAATATCTTGTTACATGTGAACTGGGCAGATGTTTGCATCAATGATGAAAAATATGAGCCCAGACATGATGGCAAACATGAGTGAACAATTTGGATTGAAGCTGTCTCGGGAAGATGCTGCAAAAGCTCAACAAGCTATGTCATCTTTATCACCTGAAGGCTTGGATAGAATGGTATGTTTGATACACTGTTTTTATATTTTCTTGCAATTCAGGACTTGGTACATATAAATGATGAAGCACTTGTCATAATAAATACTCTAATAGATTTCTCAAATTCTTAGTTTAATATTGTGGTTTTGTCTGAGTTTTTTTTTAATCTATCGCTGTTAAGTCTGTGGTTGTTAAGTTAATTAATGGGAGAAAAGGGCAAAAGATTGGGATCGTCAATTTCATTGTTCTTTTTCTTTGTTTTTGATCTTTTAATTTCCTTCTGCAAAAGTATCTTATGTATCTTGTGAGGAGTTTAGAGGTGGAATGAAAGAAAGAAAAGGATAGATGTGTGTCATTTCCATGCTGAATTGTTTCTAGAGGTCCCAACTTCTATGTAATTGGATAACGATGTTCAATTTCATTTCTGTTTGCTCTTTTGCATTAGTGCAAATGGTGTTCTCTGTGTTACCTTGTTTTCATGGAAGTTTGTTGCATTGTATTTGTCGTTGACAAAATGCTTAGATCAGAAGTTTAATGGATCTGAGAATCTTCTTTTTGTTGAACTGTTGATGATGTTCTGCTGAATTCTCTATTAGTGTTTGTAACCTATACTTAAGAACCTGATTTTGAAGTGACTGCCATTGTGCAGATTGTTGTTACCTGTGAAAAATAAGAAAAGCAGGAGTGACCTGCCTGATTATACATGTGTAATCACTTCCACAGGGCTCATGTACCCACTTTAAATTTAATTAGATATAAAAAGTTGGGCTATGTTAAGTTGTGAAATGAGGTACAAGCCCCTTATAAACTGGTGTAAGATGTTCATGACTATTGACCATCCATCATAATCGTTTTGTGTTAAGAAGGTCTCTTATTTGGCTGATTGTGTTGGACTTTTCTCTACCCTAATGTTTACACCTTTGCCTTCAAACAATAATGTTTTCTCCCTCGCTATATTGTTGCAGATGCGCTGGGTAGATAGGATTCAGAGAGGAGCAGAAGTTGCAAAGAAGGCAAAGAACTGGTTACTTGGGAAGCCTGGTATGATTCTGGCAATATGCATGCTCATCATAGCAGTGATTCTTCACCGGTTGGGCTTCATTGGTAATTAGAATGGTTGTGATCTCTGGTTTTGAATGAAACATACCATGGAATTTCTACTTCTAATTGAGGTGGTGTTGAAAACTAACATGCCTCCGGGTTTGCAAGATGGGAAGAGAGGAATTTTAAGCACCATATGTACACTTCACTTAAGAAAAGGTGGTGTGTCTCAATGGATGGACTGGTGGTCAGGATTTCTTTTGTATGTCACTGGTTGATGGAGTTCAGCCTTGATGCTTCCTTTGTATCGTAGGTGATTAGAATATGCCCGGGTTACTGAAAAGGAAATCCAAAGGGATGATCCTGGTATGATATCAAACTGACTTCCATTTTTTGTAATATTATGCGCATACTGCATACAGCATTTAGGCCACACGTGACCTACTGATCAGAATTTATTTTATTTCAATTTCATAAAGAGAGGTGTGTTAGATATCTTGTTTTCCCTCTTTACATATAGTATATTTGTTTCTATCAAATTTACATTTTGTGGACTACAATATTTTAATGGAAATTTGCATCTTGCCCCTCTGGCGTAAAATCCTTGGAACATGTTATTCTGTTATTTACTTTGGTCGTCACTGGTAGGATATCTGTTAATTGCAAAGTACGTGAACTATAATTTTATAAAAACTCAAATACTCGAACTTTATTAATTACTTGAATAATTTTAAAAATTATTATCTTTATCTTAATCTTAATACATTTTCGGTATTCTATAATTATCTTAATTTGTTTAAAAACTCAAGTAGATAAAAAAATTATTAAAATGTTTTTCATGAGTACTTAATTACTCCCCAAACGTAAATATTTTTTTTTACATATTTTATATAATTAATTACTAATTAAATTAATAAAAACATAAATAATAAAATTTAAATTTAAATAATCAAAAACTATAAAGTGTGTTTATAAATGAACATAATATATAATATAAATTAATATTATTTTATTATTTAGTAATTATTAACTTATATAATAGTAATTATATTTGTTTATAAATAAATATAATATATAATATAAAGTGTATTTATTAAAAGACATTATATGTTATATATTATAAAGTATGTGTGTATATATATATATATATTAATTAATAATTTTATAAGTTATAATTTTTATAATGTTAACACAAAATAAAAACTAAATATATTTAAATTTAAAGTATAGAGATAATAATAATGATATTCTTTTATAATATGATATGTGATATTCATATTATTTAAACATAATTAATAGTATAATAACTTTTTAATTTAAATATATTAATGTCATCACATTAATAATTTGAATAATCATACTTTTTAATATATGTGTCAGCTCTTTATAGATGTACTAATGTTGATTATTTTTAATTTAATCATTTAAATAATAATAAAAAATATATAAACAGGTATTAAAATCGGATTTAGAACAAGTATATGCATAATTTGAATATTAACATAATGGGGTCCAGGTAGTGGGTATCCAAAGGGTAATATATGAACCCTACTTGAACTCGATACGGGTAATGAAATCATTATCTAAATCCGTCTTAAACCCGATTATAAGGTATTCTGATCCTATATAACTGAGTCAGATACTCGTAAGTATCTTATAATAGAATACCCATTACCATCTCTATTTTTATTTATTTCATAAGTATATGATTGATTAAAAGTTGGAGTGCATGAGATATGTATGGATTCATTAAATATGTTTGATGTAGAAGATGCTTATTCCTAAGGCTTTGCAGTGAAATTAACGTTAAGAATGTAAATGTCAGTAAATCTGTTAGTTTTCAAATATCTTTACATGATTTTTATTATTTTTATAAGTTATTCGAACTTTATAAATATTGTATTATATTTTGAATTATTATCCAATCATGTACCCTAATATTTTAGAATTATTCATTAATTATATATACCCATTAAATATCTAATTACAAGATCTAAATTAATTTATATATATTATTAACAAAAATTTAATTAATAAATTAAAATTAATTCATTAAAAAAATTAAAGTTCAAAATTATATTTATAACAATTAATGAATTTTAGTCAAGATTATATTAATTATAAGGAATTGATTAACAAAAAATATATAAAATTAAAATTTAATTTTAACAATGATAAATTCTAATTAGATTTAAATAGTGGGCATTTTAAGACCATTATTTAAATTTTACCAAACTCGAGAATTGCTTAGGCCTAATTGTAAAGTACTTTAATTTTATCTAATCGGGTTAAAGTAATGCAAGATATTTAATGATAAGATACCCATTAACTTTTCTAACGAACTAACGCGGCTATTATAGTGCATAATACATGTGTGAAACTTTGAGGTGGGTTGGTTGTACTTGACAAAAATTAATCTTGTTAAATGTACTTGAATAGTCTATGTAGACAATGGAGTAGCTTATATTATATGAACTTAACTGACGTACCTAAAACTTAAATGTTGCATTGTCATAAATTTTTAGTCTTATGACTTTTCAATTGTTAGTTAAATTCCAATCATCTTTTATTAAAATCTAACCTAACCCTCATGGTTGAGATCTCATAAGATCTGACCATTGTGGACCGTTCCATATGGCTGCGTAATTGTGCTTCCTTAAAAATTAATCAAGTTTTTTTTTTATTTTTTATTTTTAATTTCTCTTTCATTGTCCATATCTAAAATTTTAATTTATTTGACTTATAATAAATATTTTGTTAAATGTGTATGTTTTTAATTGGATTTGAGAGTATGTTTTTTTTTGGGGGGTAATTGCAATTTATGGTTAAGTTCTTTTTTATATCAATTAAAATTATTAATTGAGCATTAAATTTTTTTGACATATTTCTCATTCATTCAATTCGTCTCATTAAGTGCTGTTGGAAGAGAAGAATTATGTTTTAAAGAAGCATGTAAGATACGGCGCGCGTGCCTAACAATGAATCAGTATTTATTATATCTTTTAACAAAAACATTAATGGAAGTACATAGAAAGTCAATTCCACAAACAATTTGACTGTTAGCACACCAACCACTGACTCGCCTGCAGTCCTTTGTGCCGGCTTATAATTAAAGCTATTTAATAATATTCGGTAACGCTTCTGCAAGCTGACGGCGGCGGTCAAAATCATTTCCCATTGTCCAATCTAGGCCGTCCATCTTCAAGACATCCCAGTCAGCTCACACGTGGACGCCATCGCCCTTTTCCCTTGTAGCAATCGGGATTTGTACATTTGATTTTTTATGATACGGACGCTCCGCCAAACGCTTGGGCCAGATTTTATTATATTTGATTTATTTTTTTCTTTTATTTTTATAAATTATAAATAAAAAAGAAAAAATAAGTAAATAGCAATCAATCAAAATAATGAAATTTCTTTATCTATAATGAAAAATAAAAAACGGTAATTCGAAATGAAAATTGCTTAATCCTTCATCTAAGTTTTCCGTTGACCACGGGGTGCTGTTATCAAAGTGTTCCTTGGAAAACCAAAAAATCGAAACCTTATTAAACCACTAGGCTCTCTGTGCATCCATTTCCATTTACCTACACAGTTTCTTCTCCTGGAAAAAGGAAAAAAAAAAGAGAAACAGAGAAACTAAACAGTTTCTTCGTTAGTAGTACTATTAATATCACAAACCAAATTAAGGAAACGAACAAAAGAAACCGTTGAATTACCTTTGGATGGTCCTGGCTAATCCTCCGCTTTGTTAAGAAATCTTTGATTTCCTTGGCGGATTTCCCTTTTATTCTGTCATATACCCCAATTTTTCCTTCACTTGGTTGTGCTTTCTTGATTGATTAAGAAAAAAACCAGGGTCAAAATGAATCAAGAATCACATTCTCCCATCTTTTCTTCTTTCAAACTCACACCTTCTCTTCTTCTTTACCCCTTCGTTTTTTAAATCCTTTTTCTTGGTTTCGAGAGGAAGAGATATAGAATATACGGAAAATAAATTCCGTTTTGGATGAAAAATGACTCGTCAGGTTTTGATAAGATCACCGCCTTTGACACGTAGGCAACCGTTTTTGCTATCGGAGGATCAGAAGACGGCGAGGAAAGGGAAGAAATTCGGGGAAGTGGCCGGTGGGACCGCGGCGGAATGTGCGGCGGTATGTTGCTGCTGCCCATGTACCGTCATGGAGCTGCTTGTTTTGGGCCTTTATAAGGTTCCCACTGGGCTTTGCAGGAAAGCCTGGAAAAGGCGGAAACGGCAGCGTTTGACAAAGAAGAATCAGGGCCTGTTGGGCCAGTCTAAGGCTGGGCCCACGAGGGAGGAGTTGGAGGCTGAGCTGGATCGGATGGTGGAGAAAGTGGGGCAAGACGGAAACGATGAGTCCAAAGGAGCCGTTGATCTGGAGAAGGAGATGTGGAACCGGTTTTATGGGACTGGTTTTTGGAGGAGTCCATCACAGAGAGACACGTAACATGTCACGTGAAGGATGGAACTAAATGGATACAAATCAAATCAAATGTGGGAACCTTTTGGAATGGGAATTTTATTTTTTTGTGGATACAAAAAAGGGGAAATTTGAGATTTTTGTCTCACTTTTTATTGAATATTATTCGGTGTGTTTTCAAAGTTGGACAAACTATTACTAGAAAAGGGCTCACGACTTCCCATCCATACAACAATCTATGTGGTTAAATAGAATTCAATATCAGAGGTAAATTGGTTGCTCGATTTCCCCATTTTTTTGTTTAACATCAATTCTAAATTAATGTAGAAAATTATTTTTTTTCTAAACTAATGAGATGGCATACTTAATTTTATCTTGATAAAATAAATTATTTTATATAATTTACTTTATCAAACAGTTGTAATTTAATTTTATAAAATTTTATTTTTTATAATAACTTTATAATAGTTTTAAAATTAAAAAAAAAGTAAGCTAAACATACTCTTAAGTATGTGCGATTACATGTGCGTGCATCAGTAAGTAATCAATACAAAAATATTAAAATATTTTTTTGGGAAACAGGTGTGTTCGATGCCGTTGTTGTAAATAATGGCGTTGTATGATTAAAAAATAACTGTTAATTACAGTTAAAATATTTCAAATCTTTTAACATAAAATAGATTTTGCATTTATTATAAAAAGAAAAAGAAAAAAAAAGGAGACTCTTATTTAAACCTTTTTGTTTTTGTCTATATGGGATATCGATGGATAGTCCTATCCACACGTCAACTTGTCAACTTTGCAAATTTAACAATTTTCTTAAGAATATTTTACCAAATAAATAATGATAAAATAAAATATAAAATACTATAAAGCTAGATGGTATTTCTACTTCCTTTATGTATAAAAGATGCTAGATGAAACTAATAATTACAACAAAAGTTTTGCCAAAGAAGTTGTGAAGGTATTTGATGACCTTATTAGTAATATTTATAGAAAGATATTGATTAATGTATTATTATTTTTCATTACCACCAACACGATTTATAATTTTTTTATTTTTTATTATTACTAAATATGTAAATTATGTACATAATATTATAGTTTTAAACCATTTTTCACGCTGACGTGTTGGTACTTAAACCAAGTCAGTGCAGTGTGACAGACTGATAAAAGAAAGAATCGTCAAAGATATTACAGTGAAATTGACACGTGTCGAAATCAGAGACGCCACAGGACCCAGCTTTAGCTTCTTTGTTTTTTTCCTCTTTTCCAGTTTTCACTTCCCTTAGCCTAAAGTCTTCTCCCCACTCTCTTAACAATAATAAAAAGTCATCAACTTTCATCGATTCTTCCTAAGAACTTCACAAAAAATATAAAAACCAATTTCAAAGTCTTCCCCTTCGTTCAATCTTCAAAAAATCTAGTTTCTTTTTTAAACCCTCCTGTTTCATTAATCGATCTACTGGCTTGACAATCTGCTGGCTTTCTTAGTTAAACTCTCAAATGGAGGTAAAGTAAATTCTGGGTATTTTTTTTATTTTGTTTTCTGGGTTTTTCTTTGGAGTCTTTGGTTGTTCAGAAATTGGAGGTAAAGTTTAGGAATTTGTGGGAAAATTTGCTTGGATTTTTAGTGATATATATGTAGTTTTCAGTATTTATTGTGAATTTTGGAGTTTCTGTTTTTTATTAAATTTTTTTTGTTTGAAGTTTTTAGGGCTTAATTTTGTTGATCTTTTGTTAAAGTGAACGGATTTTATGAATCTGATCAGTGTAGTGTCCGTGTCTTCGGTGTTGATTATATATGGACTGTTTTGATGGGTTAGTCTTTATCAAGGTGTCGAATATCTTTACTGGTGATTGTTGGTTTCATTTTGTACCTAGGACTTATGTTAATTTCATTTCCTATTTGTTCTATAATTTGGAATTGAGAGTAAAAATGGATGCTTTGGTGTTTGGCCTTTTAGGGGATGGAAGATACCAAGTCCGAGGCGAATTTAACCTCGGCTGCAGCTTTTGTGGAAGGGGGAATCCAGGATGCTTGTGATGATACCTGCAGTATATGCCTTGAAGCATTCTGTGAAAGTGACCCATCGACGGTATGTATGCCTGAAATTTGATTATTATTTGTTTGATATGTGAATGGACATTTCTTTGATCCTTGTTTGTTGCATCCTTACAGGTGACCAGTTGCAAGCATGAGTTTCATCTTCAGTGCATTCTTGAATGGTAGTCTAATCTTTATCCGTGTTATAAAATTTGTTGTAGATGTTCTATATGGTTCATGTTATATCTGCATATGTGAATAGTGATGGCTTGATGGTCTAGCTTTGAGCTCAAATGTGGCTATCTATTTAGGTTTATAATTCAGTCAGGGAAATAATTTAGGTTAGTAAAATACCCAAATTAATTTGACTTGTAAAAATTTGGAAAATGTTTACCAATGGGGACTAATTCAGCTGTCACTCTTGTCTCAGGGTTAGAATTTTGGATTCTATATTGTTATATGTTATGCATTGTAAGTTCATCTTAGCATTTTAAAAGTGGGAAGCTTTGTAAATTATGGCAGAATAAATCATCTAGTTATGCTTAAGTAGAATCAAGTGGCATCCTCGTTGCCTAGGTCTAGAGTGCAGGCAGGTCAAAAGCAGTATTAGGGTGTGAGTTTAAAGTTTATTTCACTTTCTGTTCACCACAAAAGAGATCAAACTTCTGTCAACGTTGTTGGCAGAACTTCATGTTCATGATAAGAAAGCATTGCAAATTGTGAATCACGCCTAATGTGCATTTTGATTTCTCCATGGAAGCAAAAATTTCTCATGTCAAATGTTAGGCAATCATTCCCAATTCTAATAAATTCTAAAAGAAAGTTTCTGAGAGACAAGATGCTTTCTATGATATAGGTTTCCATGGAAAGCTTTTCCTCCCTTATCTTGAGTTTTGTTTCAATAATTCCCTCCAGAAAGATTTAACGCAAAATACCCTCCTTTACTGAGCCTCAATATAGAAAGGGTCCTCTTTGCTAGAATTCAAGACCATATCAAAAACATGTTGAAAAGTTAGTGAAAGCCTCACATGCCTTTTCTTTGAGTACCTTGCAAACCAATCCTAGTTAGGAATAGCTTTGGAATTATTAGAAGTTGAGGGACTCGTTGTGAAATATCTAAATTCCTAAATGCTTAAAGCTTTTTCCTGTATGGGAGATTGCTTATTCAAGTTTAACCTGACCACGTATTTTCATGGGACCAATGAGGCCAAACTGCAGTAAGTATTTTGGTTAGAGTGTCAGATGGTGGAAAAGGCCCTGCATCTCAGAGACTCAGACTAAGGCATATTTTCTTTTATTGATAAAAGAATTAACTTCTTATGCTTTATCCTAATTACTGCTATCAGGTTCTTTTCATCTTTTCTTCATTTTGAAAATTTTTTTAGATGCATTTATTGGTTACTGCATGTTGGTAGATCTCTTAGCAGGACCTTACTTTTCCTCAAAACATTCTAATAACTTCAGTTGGATCTCTCGTTAGTTGTTGGTGAATCAAAATTTTTGTTATAATGCGACTTTAATGGAAAAATGTCAATAGGATCGCCTTGTTGTCTTTTGTGCGTTATTGCACATGGCTTTATGTTTCACCTAGCTTCAAGTCACTTTCTTTTTTTTTCCTTATCTTTTGGTGTTTTCGGATGACCCTTTCTTTTCTTTTTTACGCCTACGGAAATCAGGATAACCCCTTTTTTTTAAGCAGGAGCCTGCAATTGGAACTCCTGGCCCTGTGGGCTCAACCACATAAAGAGGGATAGGAGTGGCTGGGCCAAAAGCAGCAGCTCCGAATGTCCTTACCATGCAGTCTTTCTACCCTTTTTTTCCCTCTTATCTTTCTTGACTAAACTTTTGTTGCATTAATCTCATTTTATGGGCTATATAAACTTTGATATATTCTTATGAACTTTCTTTGTATATTTACCAAGATAATGACAATTTTGTTGTCAAAACTTAAGTGAATTGCGATTTGAGAATATGCATGACTAATTGCTATATGTGTGTGATGATCTTGTGATGCATGATATAGACATGGATTTTCTATGATAAATTTTAGGAAATTTTATGACACATGAGAAACAAATAGCATATACGGCATTTTTGAGAATTACATAACTTGAATGAACTGTGGCTAGTTATTGAGTGTGTATAATATTTTTAGATGTCAATTTCATTATTTGTTAAAACTGCTTCCCTCATCTCTCTCCCTACCACTATCTAAGGTTGTTTTGGCTTGTAGCTTCTGAATTTTGGTTATTCTAATACCTAAGGAAAATATGGATTATTGGGATGTAAGAGAGCATTAGAGAGTATTAGTTTTGCATGTTATGAACAAGTGAAATCCCCAGTTTAAAACCCTAGCTTTTCTTCTATCTATTGCCATTCAATTTCAGAACTAGTCCAGAATAGTGATCTATAATTCTAACATAGATTTTAAAAAAGAGAGGAGTCACATTTGATTGAATTCTGGAGCTCAATAGCTTGGATGCTGTAGAAGAATTTGTCAAAGAAAATCATCGACAACTTCAATTATGATTAGATTATGGATGATAAAGTAATTACATACTACAAGAAGTCTGTAACTACTGGTTCAATGAGTTTACTCAACCCCTTGACCCTCTTAAGCTTCAATCATTCTACCTGCTAAAAGAATCTGATCTGAACTTTATGGGTTGTATATTGTATTGAAGTTTATATCATTATATGGGATATGAATCTTGTTCATTCTACTTATCAAAATGGGAAAGAAACAACAATTAATAATTATCTTAACTCTTCATTTTACTATTTTAATCTTGCAGGTGTCAGAGGAGTTCTCAGTGCCCCATGTGCTGGCAGCCAATAAGCCTGAAAGATCCAACCAGGTTGTTATTGCATCTATGCTTTTTTTTTTCATGCTTTATTTTTTATTAACCTGTTCCAAAATCTTCTTGCCCACATGTATGACATGTTAATAATTTTCTTGCTTTTGCAGTCAGGAGTTGCTTGAGGCTGTTGAACGTGAAAGGAGTTTTCGGCTCAATCCCACTAGAAATGCAACCATATTTCATCATCCAACTCTTGGGGATTTTGAACTACAACATGTTTGTACTTCTCATCTGCTAGTTTGACGCCTAGCATCCTCATATTTGTCATTAAATTGAATCTAAAGCCCAATTCTGCCATACTCATGGGGTTGCTTTTAATGCAGCTGCCTGTGGGGGCAAATGATGCGGAGCTTGAGGAGCGCATTATCCAGCACTTGGCTGCTGCTGCTGCAATGGGCCGAGCACGTCACATTGCAAGAAGGGAAGGTCTGAGGAATAGGTCATCAGCTCAAGGTCGTCCACAGTTCTTAGTGTTCTCCACTCATCCTAATGCACCCTCTACCGGTCCTATATCTTCATCTCCAACTCAGAGAGAAGGTGAACCAGCCCCATCAATCACTGTTGGAACTCCATCCTCTCCTGCAAGAACAGTGGGGGAAGAATCTTCAGCTTCAATTACTCCACTACCTTCTGCCCAAGCTGATCAGCAGTCTGCGTCAGCTTCTGGCTCGAGTGTTATTTTAGTCAATGATCAAGGAAATTCCTTGAACAATAGGTACTCTGTTCTCTAACTTGATTTTGCTTATCTTTCTCTTAGTAGGTGGTTCTGTCAAGTGTCTGGTAAACTTCTTTAGAACACATCTTTCAGCCTTGCTTTATGTCGATCACAATAATATTTTTTATTGTTCTCTTGCAGGAGGTCTCCTAATCAGTGTTCTCCTAATAGTCAAGATAGAGCAGGACCTTCAGAATTCCAATCATTTTCAGAATCATTAAAATCACGATTTAATGCTGTTTCAATGAGGTATTACTTATATGGAGACATTTGACATTTTAAAGTAGGGTGATATTTTGATATTTTCTTTTACATGATTTATTTAAAATTTGCACTCTTATTTTGACTTATGGATCTTATTTAGATACAAAGAGTCAATTTCAAAGAGTACAAGGGGGTGGAAAGAGAGATTTTTCTCTCGCAACGCGTCCATGGCTGATATTGGTTCTGAAGTTAGGAGAGAGGTTAATGCTGGCATTGCAACAGTCTCTCGCATGATGGAGCGTCTGGAAACCAGAGATAATAGAACCAGCACTTCTACTGTATCAAGCAGTTTGGAAGATAGGTCTAATACGGAATCAGATAACCACCAGATATCACATGCTAGTGGAGAAACTCCTTTGACTGACACTAGTGCACAAGCTTCATGTGCTGCAAGTTCTGGTTCCAAATAAGTATTGTTTCAGCAACTGCATCAACTGAAAGTCTTTTAGCTTCAAAGGTAAGCTGAGGTGTTGAAATATTTCTTGATTTCAGTAGCAGCATATGGATGATCTTTTATTTGATATACCTTCCTTTATAAAGCTATTGAAAACTCTATTTCTATGATGATTTGTCCCATGTGGTTATCGTTCACCTTTTTTAAATGATATGTTCTTCAGTTCAGTTCTTCTTCTTCTTCTCCTTCTCCTACATATAGTTTTTATAATCTTTAATAAGTCATACCAGCTGTTTTAATAAGTTATTCTTCAATTCTTTTAGTTCTATTGCTGTGACATTACGTTAGTGATGTATCTTTAATTCGTAATAAACATTGTGTTCTCTGATACTGGGTCAAATGTTCTTTTCCAGATGTGTTATGTTTTTGATGGGTGCTTTGTCCTCCTTTTCAAGCCATTCTATATATCCTCGGACATTTGAAGAGAGCAGTTGGTGATTGAGAACTGATTCAGAATAAAAGACGCCGAAAAACAAAATAGAAAGGTTCTTATATTTGGACCTAGGAACTATCAGATTATGTAAATTAGTTTATATTTTAAACTTAATTTATGAATATAATTCTAAGCCCTGTATGCTAGGCGCCCAAGTATTGAACTTGTGACGAATTCTTGCTTGATGAGGTGCTTCATGAGGATTATTATAAATTTTACTACGACCACACAGCATTTTATCCCTACTATATATATTTCTACTCGTCTCAGGAACTTTGTTCTGGAACGAGTCTGTTAGATAGTTGCTCAGATTTCCAACATATATATCCCTAGTGAGTGGTGATAGTGTCGTTTAGCTTAACCTGATATTTTTTGAGATACATGTAACCGTGTCATAGAATAAGTTTTACATTGCAAGATAGTGACAATTATATTTTCATGCATGTGAAGTTTAACAAATCACCGGTTAGAGACTTACCAAGACCCCATCGGTGATATTTTATAGAACTGACCTGTAAAAGAAGTACACTGAATTTCTGGTGAAAGTGATGAGCAATGATGAACTGCCTAGAACGCTGACACTACATGCCAAATGGCCATACCCATAAACCAACCTACTCCATAGTTGATGTGAAGCCTCTCATAACATGTATTGGAACTGGTAAGTTTTTATGAGCTGGCCTACTACAACCACTTGGGCAAGTTTGAACCATTTACAACCAAATTTGCTTGTTACAACTACACCTTGATATTGCTCGACTACGGTTAGAAAAGCAGCTAACTTTCCAGAGTCAATGCCTTGCCCGAGAAAATTGCTTTGCATGTTTGCGAATAGCTTTGACCAAAGGGATAAGAAAATTTTATAATAATACCAACCATTGTGGAAGTGAAGCAATTTATTAGGACATGTATTGTAAACAACTACTTCCATCAATTTGCTTCTAATCTGTCAAACTCGAACGCAAAGTTTCTAACAAAAAGCCCATGCATCGAACCAAACATTGTATTTTGAACATGTTGTCATTATTAAGCAAATGGAAACCAAGTCTTGGTGCTGCTTTCAACATCGCGCTGAGTTCAAGACCGCCTCTGACACTTGTTTTCCCACCACTCCATAAATTTGACCTGTGCAGCCATTGTGTCCAACCTGTAGAGTTGATACCAGTGGTTTGCAATTTCTTGTCCAAATGTCCAACCAAAGACAGCTCCTGCTGCGAAAGACAGTCCAGCACCTAACAGAAAAATAGGGGTGAGAAGCTTCCCTTTGTCTCATTACATCAGACAAACCAAGTTGTAACCGTGATTTATAATATGGGAAAAAAATTGCAACAAAGAATATTTTTGTCAATGCAAAGTTTTGGAATGACTAATGCAGAAAAGAGTCCTATGACCACCACACTCAATCCAGCCAAGGTTCTAACTCTTTTAAGCAGTCCATCAATTTAAATCCAACTGAAACTATATGGGCGAGCATCATATAGGACTTACAAAGCAAAATTATAATCGCAAGGTAATTGCATGCTATAGTGGGTAGGGAAGGGCATAGCGGGCAAGCCCCTTGGAATACCTTCCATTCCTGTGAAGAGTACTAAATTCCAGTTCAGAGATGATTTTATGTAAGGGAATAAGTACGGGACAAAGGAAGGCATTTTAAGCCAGCATCTAACTCAAGTAGACATTTTAAAATGAGTATATTCTTGGTTTATCATTTCTACTAACTTTCATCCTTCTCAAGGTTTTTCGTGTTCTTGTATCTGGAATACTCAGCTAAATTGTATTTTCTCCTTCAATTTTTGGTGTCTCTCCTGCTGATCTACTTTAATTGGATTATTATTTCTCATTGGACAAAACAGAAATAAAGAATGAAAGCATGAAAGAAAAAGAAAACCACAAGCAAGGAAACAAGCTAGACCATCACCTAGTACTCATAGTGCTCCCAAAACAGTAAAGAAAGCTACTAGTAAGACCTAGACAGGCCAAGAAGACAGAAAAAACTTCTAAGAAACTAAAGAACATCAGTTTACAAGGAGAATACATAAAACAAAAGAGATTACGACTCATACAGAACAGAGAGATGGTTTATGTACTTACCATTGCCTCATAACCTTCTTTCACTACCTATTGGAAATCATTCGTGAATTCCTGATAGTATTATATATTCATATCAGCTTAACAATGCAATCCACAAAAGGGGCATCCTCCCACATGCTCTCCTAATTCTTAAAGAAACTGGGATTTTCATATTCATAGCAATCTATATTTTGACTTTTCTTCCAACTACTTTACAGCATAAAAGGTTTGATCAAAGAGAATATGAAGTAGATTACCATGTAAACTCCTTGAATATTTCCAGGCCAAACCAGCAGTTGATATTGCTCCAATAGCACCTCCTGCTAAGGCAATGTTTGTTGCCTTCCTAGCAGTCTTCAACTGAAAAACGAAACAACAAAATTAAGCATTTGCAGGAAAGTATGTTGTAGTATTGCTACTACCATAATGAAGTGGCAATAACTTTATCTGCGTATATCTACCTTATGGAAATACTATTCAATCTTTAACAATAACTTACCCAATAAACTTTCAATCAATTAAAAAAATCCCACTCTTGCTAGTACTTTCAAGCTTTAACATTTGCAAAGACTAAAGATAAAATCACAAGGAGAGCACGGAGATAGACATATGTTCATATATATAAACATATGTTCATATATATAAACATATGTTCATATATATAAACATAATGAAATTTGCATTGATATGAACTTCTCTCCAATTAAAACTAACTCAAATACCCAGAAGCTCTACAGTGTAGCTTAGCAAGTCAGGAAAACTCAATAATTCTAACCCATAAACTCCACCCCATAATAAATCAAAACAAAAGCTCGTACATGAAGAGGAAAAGAAACTATTTTCACATCAGGAAGAATAAAAGAAATACGAAAAGGGTACCTGGAAAAAATTATTGAAGAAGCTAAAAAGAAACGAGACTAATCTTGAATATCTCCCAACAGTAAACATATACCAACTATATCAAAAAGCTGAGGTAAAGATAATTTTTTTGAGAACAAAAATCATAAGAAAACAAGAACAAAAGAAAAGGGTATAGTCAAAATGATTAAATCTACTAAAGTTTGAACTAAATCAAAGAACGCAATACGCAAAAACATCCCAAAAGTGGAAACGAAGGAAATGATTACGGTGGGGCCATGAACGGGCTCAGAAGCGATGAACTCATGGACATCGGATTCAGACCAAGGAGGAAGAGACTCTTCACGCTTGATGAATCTTGAATAGATTTCAGTGAATGGAAATCGTTCTGCCCAGAATTCTTTGTAGCCTTCCCAGTACTTCTTCAAGAATGACTCTGATGATGACTCGCCCATTTTTTTCTCCTCTTCTTCTTTTCCTTTCCTTTTTTTCCTCTTTTCTATCGAATTAATTGATCTCTCGCTTTCTCCTAGTGGGATTCCTCAGCCCCCTCGCCTTTAGATGGGGTGCGGTTCGCATCTTGTACAATGAGGGCACTCACCAATCATTTTTTCACGTGTCAAATTTTTGACATAATATTTTAAAAAAATTAAACAAATTTTATGTATTTATTACATTTATTTTTATTTTGACTTAAATAAATTTTAAATTTTAATTTGATTCAAATGAATTTTAATAACTAATGATTTTTTTAATTAAAATATTATTTATTATTTTATATTACGTGACTTAACGTTATTCTAATATAACATATTAATATGTTATTTCGAATGAAAATATAGTATGTTGATATAACGTAATCTTACAATATTTTTTACATCCCATATCAACATCAAATTAACGTTACATTAATATTAAATGATAATGAATATTTTAATAAATAACAATTAACTCATAAGAATTTATTTCACCTAATAAAAGAATGAGAGTTTAATTGACTTTTCTTTAAATAATTCAGGTATTTTTTTGAATATTAGGCTAATTTTTTAATTATTAAATTTTTAGATAAATTATTTATGATTTTAATTAAAACAATAAAATAAATAAGAGATATTTAATATCCCATACTGTTAACAACAATTTCATATTATGATTGGTTCTTTAAGATATTAAAAATATTCAATGCATTCATAGATTTTAGATTTATTTGGAATATGAATGTAAGATGTTAGATTTTGGTACTTGTATTTGATTATCTAGGATGAAGTCCTGCCATGGAAGAACTATTCTCATTGCGTTTCCCCAGGCATTAGACAAGTAAAGAGAGAAAAATGAAAAAGAAAAAGAAAAAGAAGAGGTAATTCAAGCAGAATTAACATAGCCTAAATAACAAAAATTGTTGGAGACATAAACTATGTCCGGGGCAGGGAAGGCGGGTGTTTTTGACTGTTGTTTAAACAAGAAATCTTGCAATTGCAGTAATAAAGTCTAACTTCTCTCTGATAAAGCCACACCGATAACAAGTATACACCTAGAAATCAAATTAAAAGATGTATACTACAGTAGCACACTTCAGATCTTCAAAGATTTCTGACTTTTCAAGGGGAAACATAGCCAAAAATGAAGATGGACACATTCAGCATGCCAAGTGAGTCAACTTAAGCCAAGTCATAAACTGCAACAAACGGCATGAGAACACTCCCTATCCATAGTTTGCCGTCCCTCTCTTCAACTTCACTAACTGCTCTGACAACCTTTCCCTCACTATCCTCTAAAATCTGTAACAGCTTTCCCTCTGGGCTGTATTTGACAACTATTGCATGCAACTTACCCCCAACATGAAGCAGGTATTGAATCTTTGAAGAGATGGGTAGCTTTAGAAGGAATTTCCTAAGTTTTGGGTATAATCCCAATACATGAGCGTAAATGGACCTGCGACAGTGAATTGCTACCCAAAATTCACCATCTTTATTCGTGCGGACATTGTCGGGAAATCCTGGTAAGATGGCAAAGACCTCTGAAGTCCCTACTTTCTCACCTTTCAACCAGTACTTGTGTAATCTGCATTTAACAGATATCAAACCATCACATAGAAACAGGTAATAGTTATTTCTTCAACTATTAAGAACTGAGTTTTGAATGCTCATGAGAGTTTCTTAAAATCTACATCTCCTCCGAAATCCTAGCACTGAATGATCAAAGCAAACTACAACAAAAATGCCGCTTTTCTTACTTTTGTCCACATAATAGCATAGCCTATTTGCCCAAATTTGATCAGAATCATATTGCAACACACTCAAGTATGATAAATTCTTTTGCAAAAAAAAAAAACACGGTGAAAAAAAAAAAAAACTTCTAAACACCTGTTGCAACTTCCATTGTCTAACGTGATCTTTTCAAAATTCCCAAAGCAGAATCTACCTCCTTTTATTTTCCCTTCTTTTTGAGCATTATGTGCTTTCAATGCATCAGTTGAATCAAAATGGTTCTAGCAGTGTTAAAAGCCACCATTGGACTTAAATCTAAATGAAAAGCTTTTGAGTAAATTTAGAATTGGCCATGGCACATCAAAGGCAACTAAATTCAGAAGCAAGCTCACCTGCCGAGACATCCTTCACAAAAGACAAGAAAAGAACCATCCTTGCTTAAGGATACACCATTAGGAAATTGGATATTTCTCACAAGGACAGTGGTTTCCTTTGTATGTGGATTATACTTCAGAAGCCTCCCACTACTCTCAGAAGAAAAAACCAGCTGCATGAAGTTCCTGAACATTATTACTGCATTAGTACGAACTGATAATCTGCATGACGGGGTCTTAATGGGAGGAACATATATATGCAATGCAACATTACTGGAGCAAACAGAAAATTTGCTCAGTTTGACTCTCAGAAGTTGCAAATGTGCTCTTGGAAGGTTCACATTTCGATCAAAATAAGTATAACTAAACTTACAAAGATGTTTTTCAGTAGGGATTTGCAAAGTTTCAATATATCAATGGTTAGAATATATAAATTTTTATCTATGAAAATCAATTGGTTATTTAAAAGTGCTATCCTTTACCAAGAGTTCTTCTTCTTCTTTTTAACAAACACTTCCAACAGTTTAAAAGCTGGCACACATCCAAGCGTCACACACAAAACTATGCATGATTCTCGAGCATCTCATAGCATGTGAAGTACCCTTACACCCTTAAGTGCTCAGGAATGCATACACAGACAAAATAATCAAGCAATTTATAAGCACGGTGAGTTAAATGATTTTCACCCAAATTAGGACACAGTGCAAATAGGAAGTATCAATTAAATAAAAAAACTGTGTATATGGAAAATCCTCTAGTCTCAACAAGATTTGGCACATTCCTCCCCACAGCTAGAGACGGTTCTATGGAGCAGCTTGTTAATATTACTAAATTTGCAACAAAATGATAGTGCTCTCTGCATCCTGTTCATGACCTAGAGATTAGGTGCCACGTCAATGCCCTTGTGTTTCAATAAAATGCTTCAGCAATTCATGATTTTTCTAAAAGCGGTAACAGTTTCAACAAAATTATTGTCCACATCTTAGAAAGAAAAATATCATCAGAAACCTACCTTCTCTGGTATATGCTGCTGCTATCAGTAAAATATATGTTTCCTTCCTCATCAATGTCAAGGTCGTTGGTAAACCTCAGTGGCACCCCTTCTGCCTCAGTTACAAGTGAAGTTGCTAATCCGCCTTCTGGACCCACCTTGAACAGCCCCAAATATGCATCCGCAATGTACAAATCTCCAGTGTTCTTATCAAATCGAAGGCCCAAAGGCCTGCCACAGATATGCTCATTTGGCAGGTAACTCAGTGGTGATGACTTTGGGTTACATAGTTCTGACCTGATCCCAAATTACGTAAGTTAAATGATTATGAGGGTAATATTTTGACGGTAAATGCCCAAAAACACTGCTTGCAGTTGGAGAGATTTTCCAAGAAATCAGCAACAAGATAAAACACATAGCATAGAAGAAAACCAGACCAACTTTCTACTGCCATCTGACAGAATAATTGCCATACTTCAACAACTTTTAACTTTATTACAGCTACAATTTACTGACTAACAGATTGAGAAAGACGAAAAGTAGAAAGACATGCCTTTTTTTTATAATATTTTATTAATAGGAAAAGTTTTCTAATCTCAATTGATGAATACCATTTTTAGCAGTGTAAATAATTTCATTGGATTTTAATTCAGTGTTCAACCACTTTCAAAAAACTCCTTAACTAAAGAAAACTATTCCCAGCTGTTATTTCAAATTATGTTCATCATCAAATAACTTCATTTTCATGAAGATGCATTTCGAATTTTTAATAGAAATTTCTACCAAGTAGAACATAATAATGATTACTTACCAGGTATCTAAAATACGACTATGTAGCATAAGCTAATTCTGCAACCGAAAAAAAAAAAAGAAGGGACAAAAAAACCCATAAACCCATCAGCGAGAACTTGAAAACTCACCTATTGCTTGAAGTATAAGCAAAATCCTTCCATTTTTCTCCATCCCAGAAGAGAATCCGACCATCAGCAACACCAGTGTAAGGACCACGTCCAAGAGGGTCAAACGCGATGCTCTCCGGGCCCTGAATCTGGTTCAAGAACTTAATCTCTGATTTCTGAAGCAAATTATCCTTGTCCCTCACCGTCGGAGACAGTTCCCATGAAGGCATATCCACCTTGTAAGCCTCAAAGTCAGGAAATCCTGAGATTGCACTGTGCTTAAAAGGGTCTATCCCACAGTACAAAGCAAGCAGCAGAAACAGTATACCAAGAATTCCCAATGGCGTCATCGCCGGAAATTTCGAAGGAACAAAGGAAAAACCCCGAAGCTTGGAACAAAAAAACGATCACTTTTTTCAGCTGAAGTTAAAAGGCTTTAGAAAACTCGGCTGTCCAAAAAGCCGGGCTTTTAAACAACCCTTCTGTTTGTTTGTGTTGAAAGATGGACACAGGGTTAGGTAGAGCTCGTTTTTGCTGCCTGTCTGGTTATTGGTAGGGAAGGTTGGGCACTTAACGCTATGGAGTACCACAACTTGTTTTTTTGGTGGGTTGTGAACAGAAACATGAAACAAATATGATAAATGTTTCATAACATCAAATAAATATGTTGAAACATATAAAAATAGTTAACTACTAGTCAAGCTATTCCTCAATCCTTTCTCTCTCTTGTTTTTTGGTTAAATAATCAAAGGCATTCACAACTTACAGGTTGGTTAGACGATGAGTTGGCTTGAACTCTTGAACCAAAGTTTTGGGCAAAATAAACTTTTATGGAAGTGGTTGGGCTTAAGCTATCCAAAATAAAACTAGTTGGACCAAAATAAAAGTGGTAGATGCTTCCCTCTGTTTATATAATTGAATTTCTATCCTCAAAAATCACAAGGAAAATAGCCATATCCAATTCCATAAACTCTAATCTTCCTACTCCAAGATGTTTACAACATGATCTTAACCTTCAATACCGCAGTCTAAGTTTGAGTTCAGGCGCCCTATACCCCGTTTATCCGCCTATACTCCTATTTC